AGCATCTTCTGGATTTTTTTCTGTTTTCATGTGTAAGGTTCGTAAACTAATATAAATAAAGCAAAAATCTCAAAAGATCTAAAACTATTTCTGAATTCCAAACAATGCTCACGCTTTCCTTCTGTCGCCGTTCGCAACTAGTATAGATGAGAAACGCGATAAACTTCTCTGATCCCACCAAAAAACCATCTAATTTAATATAAAGTTAAAAGGTTTTCTGCACACCCTCTGCAGATCCCAAGGAGGTTGGACGTATGTCTAATCGATTCGTTATAATAGATTACCTATACACTATCAATTTTATTGCCCGTAGACCACTTTTTTTTTATTGTCACAGTTGACTGCTATCTGGCGACATCTACTCCCGGCCCACAGAAAACGGTTGCTGAACTGTTCACCTCTTTGCATCAATAAATATTTCAGATGATCCCTTCGAATATTTTCTCTCTTATGTAAAAAATAATTTTCTACTGTTGTCTCTTGTGATTCGCTTATCCATAGAATATCTGACAGCCATTTTTCCGTATTTTGCGCACACACACTGTAAAACTTGGACTCGGAAAAGTGGATGACCAATCACCCACTTTTATGTGTTGGCCAACCAGAAAAGTGGATGAAACTCTTGCTGTCATCCACTTTTATTGATGAAAAATTAAAGTGGATGACTTCCATCGCTAATGTTTGGTTTTTAGAAAATTTATCCACCACGAATTGCTGATTTTGCTTATGTAACAGATCAAGCTTGTAGTGAAGATGATGTATTAGATTTTGAAATTGATTTAATGAAGGTATTAATTGTTGTTGTTTTTCTCATTATTTTCTCTCATCAATATCACTGTTTTATTTAAGGCGTTAAATTGGTTTATTTCACCTATGAAAGCAATGAGTTGGTTAGTACAACCTGAAGAGTAAGACAGGTATGAGATAACTGAATTGTTGGTAGACGTTTAGAAAAGCAGAGATACAACAATATGAAGATATCTCTGTTTTTCTTATTATTAATTTTTCTGTTAAAAGTACTTATACTTTTAACACAATAACTATGTTGTATTATGCACGGCTTAGTTACTCTCTCACTCTAGACTGATTCTTCCGTTTTAGATCAAAATATGCAGGCAAATCGTTGCTGTCAGTGTTCAAAGCCAAGACCAGTGATTCGAAAAATGAAAACAATTGAAAATACACCGGTAACAAATCGCCCTTCAAAGAAAAATAAAGAAGTTCACAAGGTATGTTAACGCTGATCGCCTCTAGTTAATGCAATTTATGTGACTTGCTTCTTGTCTTTTGTCGTCACAGAGATCATATACACCTGCAAAAATTGCATTACCGAAACACAGTCAGTGTGGAGACATATCCCGATCAGGATATAGGAGGTGTCCCCTTACTGACAGTAATGCGGTCGAAGAAGGATTAACATAAGGTGGCTGGCACTGTTGAATTTAACTGCTGCTTTAAGAAAATGTCTTTTTTTTGTAGGTGAGCTGGATGATGGTCGAATTAAAAGCCGTTTTAATTGTGAAACACGTGATTTTGTCATGAAAACTTACACAACGAAGAGTGCTATTAATTACAAAAATATTTGCTTGGCAGTTATTCAGAAGTATCCAAAATTAACAAAAAAACAAGATTTCGAACTGGTAAGATCGTGGGTGTAACCTGCTGCAAATAATGAGCGATGATATTTTGTAGACATCATTGTCCACGTCACTGTCACAATGTATAAAGGATAAGCGCAACGAAAATAAACGTGCACTTAGCTTGCAAGCAAAACGAGAACGTTACAACGATTCTGTTCAACTGAATGGAGCTGCTACGTCCCATTCTGATGATTCAGAAAACGTGAGTCTCGCGTACTGAAGTTTCGAAAGCCATAGAAGCCATATTTAAACGTTTTAATCATATCATTTATTTAGGAAACGCAAACAGTAGCAAAACATGTTCGCCTTGTTAAGCGAATTTCTGGAAACAATGTCAATATCACGTCAGAACAAGTAACTGTCAATATAAATTTTCTAGCAGTCTTATTTACCGCTACAATGTCGTTTTTCTTTAGACTCAGGAAACAAATTCGACGTCAACTGGTACCGAAGAACTGTTACCGTTTGTTATTTCGGATCTGGTACGCTAATAAATACGATCAGTTTGATACGCTTGAAAAATTCAATTGTTTCTATTTTTTAAAGCTATCCGAAACTCTTAACATTCAACATTTGAACAATAATTTCATAAAAGAAGAAGCAAGAGAACTGAAAATAAATTACGTAGAAAATGAACTATCACCCAATACTACGCAGGTACGAACTAATTGGCTTTCTGTTTCAGGATTAAATTTTCGCTTTTTCTGCTCTTTTTTTAGCACGAGGAGAGCAGTTGGGTCGTGGATAATGAAGTAGTTATTGAAACCTCTGTGCAACGAGAAGGTACAAAAGAGGGAACTGGAATAAAAGAAGACGGCGGCGGTATTGAAAATTTTTCAATGATTCTTCACAACGACAAGGAACAATATTATCAGAGTCGAAAAGATGTGGCCAAACGAATAGCTGGTCGAGCGAAATATCTGAAAGACAGTACAGGGGATGGTGATGAAGAGGAGGAGTTAATCTGTTCCATTCGTTATTCAACAGCAGAAAGATCTATTTTCTCAGTTGCATCATCATTATCAATTATTGGTAAGAGAAAAATTAATTTTTAGATATGGATCTATTTTATTAAATATAAGTTTTTTTATTTGTAGTACTTATAGCAATTTTATTATGATTAATTATGGGCGTTGTGTGGTCAATCATTACCCATCGTTATGCTTCAAGAAATATTCAGGTTCAATCAGCAACAACAACAATTGTACATCGCTATCAATTATTAAGCATAAATGATAATGGACAGCATAAGAAACAAAATACACAACAAAATACACACGATAAAATTAAAGAACTACTCGGTCATGATGAACTATAATATGTTTTT